ACTCCCCATCCATTCCTCCATCTCAGGCTGGAGGGTCTCCATCAGCTACCTGCATTCTTTCAATAGGTGCCATCTAAACCATCTTTTATTGAAATGGGTAGTTTCTCATTTGTTCTACATTTAACAGTGTCCAAGGGGTCAATAGGATAGATTATATAGATATATACATGATAATGTAAGATTATCACAGCCCTAGCCCTTCTTTCACAAAATGTGCAAACTTCACTCTTACAGCACAAAGCAAAATTACATTTCCAGAAAAAGTACAGTTCAGAACTACATTACAGTTGACTGCTAGACCATAGCATGGATTTCTACTCATCACAGAGAAGGGTAGCAAGAAAAGGCTTGAAAAGAAAAAATGTTGACGTCGGCCTCATTAGGACTGATTACAAATGCCATAGATGTATTATGTTTTGAATCCAGATATATGACCTCCACTGGGCCCTCTAGGGTAGCACAGAGTTCAGCGAAGATCAGAACCCATATATTGGACTATTAGTAAGTCATTGTTAACCTTACTAGAAACAGTTTCAAAGGAAGATAGGAGTGGAAGTCATATCATAGTGGGTTGAGAAGAGAATGAGAAGTGAGGAAATAAAATGGTCAGTATAGGAAGCTTGCTGTAGTCTGAAGTTTTTTCTCCCTAAAATTCATGTGTTGAAATCCAAATGCCCAATATAATGGTATTAGGAGGTGAGATCTTTTGGAGGTTACTAGGTCATGAGAGTGGGGGCTCCACTCTCATGGGATTAATGTTCTTATAAAAGACCCCACAGAGATCTCTTGGCCATAGCTGAGAAGGACCAGTTATGAACTAGAAAAAAATCTCTCACTCGAATAAGACCATGGTGAGCACCATGACCTTGAACTTCCCAGCCTCCAAAATTGGTTTCTGTCCTCTATAAGCTACCCAGTCTGTGGTATTTTGTTATAACAGCCCAAACAGATTAAGATGGAATTTTTACACACACACACACACACACACACACACACACACACACACACACAGAGGAATAAGAATTCAAAGAGAGAAGAGCAAATAGAAAGTTGTGCAGGCCCACAAGAAGATCCTAAGTCTTCTAAGATCCTAAGATTATTTAGTTGTTTTTGCTTTTTCTTTTTTATTCAGGAAGAGTTTGAAGAATGATTCTTGCTGAGGAGATCTTGCTGAGGAGAAAAAGTCAATAAATAGGAAGCAAGAGAAGAGAAAAGAGAAAACAGCAAAGTCCTGGAGGAAATGCAGAATGGGATCTCTTGAAACTAATGGGAAATATGCCAAAATGCGGGATGGGATCTTTTGAAACTAATAGGAAATATGCCAAATCAGTCAGTACTCTTCAGTTGCTAGTGTCAGAAACCCAACTCCCACTAGCTTAAGCAGTTCTGATTAAAAGTTACAATTTCATTTAGAATTGAAGCCAGCTTCTGATTAGACTCAAATGATATCATTAGGTCTCTCTCCTTCACTCTGTCCTCTGTGTTGGCTTTATTCCCAGGCTGGCTGTTTCCAGGAGATGCCAAAGATGGCCAGTAGTGGCTCTAGGCTCATAGCTTACAAATCCCAACAGGGTTTTGTCCTCTTTGCCCAACAGTTACAATAAAAGTCCTGAGACTGACTCCGACTAGAAGAGATCAGTTCACATGCTCATCCCTCAATCAGTCAGGGTCGGTTGAGCCTAAATATCATGTCTACCTCCATCATCTGAATTGAAAATGTTGGTTGGGGTGGTACAGGGTGAGGGGCACTTAGAGAAAGGACACACTATACTTGTCGTCCCAATGAGAGTCAACCCCTACTCAATCATCAACATCCTACCTTTCCAGGAGGAGCAGCCCCCACCCCCAGACCCAGATGCTGAAGAAGCAAACATGAAACTGCCCACGCCCAGCAGGTACTCCATGCCCTGTGGCTGTGCTGCACCCTACAACCTGCCACTCCACCTGCTGGCCTACTCCACCCCTGATGTCATCTCTGGGTCCCTGAATGAGGAATTGCACTCCCAGGAGACAATGACCTTAAGTATCATAACTCGCACCCTGGGAATTTCATCTGTCAGGAAAGACACCTCCAGAAAGACTTTTGACCTCGCAGGACAGGCCCATAATTATCAGGAATTGCTAACCACCTTTGTGCTGCCAAACTTCAGGTAACAGACTCTTGGATTCACATGATGCTTCTGAAGAAAGGACCACAGCCTGACTGCACACCATCTGGTGACCTGAAAGTAAATATTTCCTGGAATTGAAGTAGATACATCTGATGAGACAGCTTTTCCAAGATGTCTGGACAGGCCTATATACCTTTTTCTTACACTGTTTCTTTTCTCTGCTTCTTCTGTGGAAAGACTCCTTTTCTGCATTTCCCAAGCCCTTGCAAAAGAGAAGAACCCGGTCTATTGATTATCGCCTTTCAGAAATCACTTCATTATTCACTTCAAATTCACACTAATTCTCACTTGCTTTTTCTGAAGGGTTAGAATTTTCAGAGTTCACAAAAATTTTCTTTTATCTAAACTATTAACTGACTTTGGATTTTTATCCAGACTTATGGTTTATGAATTTGCAACCTTATGGGTTGTGTTATCAATAACACATTTGGTTTCAAACAGTTCTTTTGAGATAGTGTTTTAAAACATCTTTGAAGTTCTGCTATTTTTCAAAAAGTTCATCAACTACTGCTTCATGCTTGTATCTGCACTCTGTCTTCCCAAATGCACTCAGTTAATTCTTCCACGGCGCTTCTGCAGTACTCACTAGTCTGCTTTCATGGTCGCTTTAAGCAGAGACTTCTAGGAGGCATGCATGACTCCAGGTTTGCCTTCACAGGGAGAACAATTCTCCCCATAACTGGAATAAATGCCAATAAATATTTCAGTTGGTTATTTTCAGATCTAGAGTCCTGGTTTAAAACCATCATGCAATTTGGAATTGTTATTTCTTTTGCATATAATTATGTTAAGTTTTGTATTTTCTTTACCATCAAACTTATTTTAAAAACCACTTATCCAATAAAGTGATGTTACCTTCTGGGTTACTTCCAACACTTAAAACCTTGAAAAAAATAGGCTTTTTTTTTTTTTTTTTAAAGATTTGCTTACTTGAGAGAGAGAGAGAGAGCATGGGGTGGGGGAGAGAATCTCAAGCAGACTGCCCACTGAGCTCAGAGCTTGGCACAGGGCTCAATCTCACGACCCTGAGATCATGAACTGACCCAAAATCAAGAGTCAGGATACCTAACCAACTGAGCCACACAGGTGCCCTGAAAAGATAGACTTTAGATGAGAAGTACCTGAGAGTTTCTCCCTACTAACCTTCCTTGCTGCTCAGATGTGACCAGAAGTGGTTTCTAACTGTTGTGCACATTCCCTCTGACATAGGACATGACAACCAGGAAAAGTCCTTCCTGGTACCAAGGGACAAAACCATACAATAGAAAGAACTTGACTTTTGATCAGTGATGCTTTCAAAGAAAGGTCTTGATCAAAATGTGAAAATTAATAAAAGGAAATTTTGTTCAGAGGGGGAGCTCTCATGCCCCAACATGGTTTGTCAATTTCAGGTTCCATGAAAGTCATATGTGATTAGTGCCAGTTAGGTTTGAACATCAGACATTTTACTCATTAGTCAAAGATCTATGTTTGATACACAGTTTTTAGAGGGGATGTTATAATCCTGCAGCTTTAAGTGTTCATGTTATCAAGTGATATGAGAACTCAAACTTCCAGATTAATATTTAAAGACTACGCAGATGTCAACCTCAAATATTAAAGTAAGCATAATGTGGACCCCTGACTTGGTATATAAATGTACAACTATTCCCTCCCCATTGGCAGAACATGAGCTTGGCACTAATCCATTGACACTACCATCTGTACACACAGAGAGAGAGAGAGAGAGAGAGAGAGAGAGAAAGAGAGAGCTACACACACTATGTACTGAATGCATGTAGACATTTACAAGATGCCCCTCTGAATGCAGCCAGTGACTGTGGGATACAGCAAAGCCAACCATTCCAGCTGATAATTGATTTTTACCCCAATGGTAGCAGTTTAGACAGAGAGAAATGGGCAAATATAGGATAAATCATCTTTTTGAGGTCAAGTCTGCAGGGCACTAGGTCTGTCTCACTTCACGCATCTATTGAAACCATGAAAGAGTACCTAAGGAAGGAAGAAAAAAAATAACCACTTACCAAGTGCATTTGCTGGAAAATAGTGTTTCAATATTGACGAAGGTTTAAATTGGAATTTAGGATGATTCTATGCTATTTAATCCCTTAGCACTCTCCCCGATCCCTAAAATCTTTCATAACCATACTAATTTTTCAGGACATCAAAAGCCAAAGCAGCACAAGTTGCTTTTGGTATAAATACTGAGAAGTGTCTCCTATTACTTGAAAAAATACAAAGGATTAGACTTCCACATGTAAAATGATCATGGCCTCTTTTCTAGGCTTTTGGGGTATAACTTTCATAAGTCAGTTGGCCCATCAGAGTAATTAAATTAAAGAGAACAGTTTTTAGAATAGAATATACTGTCTGCTGAGTTTTGGTTAAGATCTATCCTGTGCATTTGAATAACTAGAATCAAGTGCTATGTTGCAGATTTCACATATTTTTTACCTTCCATGTCCTCTCCAGTCCCGCTTCTAGCTTGTGGATGCAAATGTCTCTGAAACACTGATGCTCTGTGTTGCTTCAGTTTCTGATCACATTACACTTATAACTCTGCAGCATCCCTACATCCATTTTCTATGTCAAGACAAACCTCATGTCATGGTCTTCTGTTAAAGAAAGCCAGCTCAAGGCTGCTTTTCGTTAGTATTTCATATCCCTCTTTGCCATTTTACCTGCACTGTGTCCTTTCATGTGGAAACTATCCCTCATATGAGTTCATAAGGCTCTTTCACTCACCTTTTCTTCTAAAGCCCATAGGCTCTCTGATGCATGTGTGGGTATGGGTTTGGGTGAAAGAGTACTCAAAATGTACACAATGTGTTGTGAAATATATTCACATTTTATTAATTTTATTCCAGGTGAACACATTTAACTGAATTGCAAGTTACATCACTATAGAAGTTAGATAGAAAATCCCACCACATAGGACTTCTGAGGTTTGGTACAATAGTTTGTCTTGATGGCCTCATGTATACACTCACTGGAGTCAGTATTACACTTGCCACACTTACAGCTTACAGCTACGGGGTAGGAGAAATAGGGAGTGACATGGCGTGGGCATCCTGGTATTTCTACAGTCTTGTACATGAAGTCTCTATATGTACAAACATCCTGGGACAGAGCATATTTGGGAAGAAAGAGCTTGCCATTGATATCCTGAGGAAAGAACAGAGCAGAAAATGGAGTATAATGTTAATTCACTTATATTCCTTTGACACAAATAAGACTGGGGGAGGATTCCTTAGTCCCATTCCCCAGTACCAATTCAATATATTCACACTGAATCCTTTATCACACACACACACACACACACACACACCTTCCTTTTATCCTGATCATGAGAACAATATAAGGTTTAAATAAATTCTGGGAGTAAAATCTGTACCAATTGTGTTAAGTAGATCCATATAATATTATAACCTGGGGGCTCTACCTCTAAGGAGCCAATAACCATTAGATTTAGGAAATAACGTTGTTATTTATCTCATTTCCTTTCTGGATAGAAATGGACTGAGTCTAGGTTTATCTAATTTACAGCCAAAAGAAGTGAGATGAACTACATACCCGTGTCATACAATATCCAGCACAGATGGTAGTGTTGATGGTTAGGCAATAAGCGCACTCGTTCCTTTCGACATGCATTGTATACTCAGTTGGAAAACAAAAAGACATTACTTGCCCACATGCAAGGCCAAAAAGCATGGACATCAGGTAGATAGCAGTCATGCTAAATCAAAGAAAAAATTAAAGAATCTATTACATATATCCTTTAGGACATACAGAAGGGACTTTTTTTCATTTCATTTTATTTTATTTTATTTTTTCAGTGTTCCCGCATTCATTGTTTATGCAGCACACCCAGTGCTCCATGCAATATATGCCCTCCTTAATACCCACACTGAGCGAAAAATGTGTGTGTGTGTGTGTGTGTGTGTAAATATTTGTAGCTATTGAATGCTTACTTCGTTCTATGCCCTATGTTGGGTGCTTTTGCATAGTTAATACTCTTAGTAACCTTTCTTTATGCATTTAGATGTGACTATGAGCCACATACCTTATAACGTAGGAACTCACACAGTGAAGGTCCTACTTGCAAGTGCCACTTAGCAACACTGGGCAGTGGAAAGGAAAGCCTGAAACATCACAACAGAACAGTGGCAGAGACACATAATGTCAACTAAGTGTAAAACAATTTACTCAGTGGAAAAAATCCAAATACCTGCCTCTAATTATAAGAAGTCCGCTAAAGGGGCACCTGGGTGGCTCAGTGGGTTAAAGCCTCTGCCATCAGCTCAGGTCATGATCCCAGAGTCCTGGGATCGAGCCCCGCATCGGGCTCTCTGCTCAGCAGGGAGCCTGCTTCCTCCTCTCTCTCTGACTGCCTCTCTGCCTACTTGTGCTGTCTGTCAAATAAATGAATAAAATCTTAAAAAAAAAAAAAAAAGAAGTCCGCTAAAAGTGAGACCTCAGTAGGGTCTTTCTCAGAACTGTAGTTTTCTTTTTTTTTTTTTTAAAGATTTTATTTATTTATTTGACAGAGAGAGATCACAAGTAGATGGAGAGGCAGGCAGAGAGAGAGAGAGAGAGAGGAGGAAGCAGGCTCCCCACTGAGCAGAGAGCCCGATGCGGGACTCGATTCCAGGACCCTGAGATCATGACCTGAGCCGAAGGCAGTGGCTTAACCCACTGAGCCACCCAGGCGCCCAGAACTGTAGTTTTCTAAAAACTTTACTTCCTTAACTTAAAAGGCCAACAAACTGGTTATAATCAGAAAGTCTAAAGAAACCAAGAAAAAGTATAATCCAACTTCATTACCATCTCAACACAAATCATCTTGCATATAATTCTATCCAATGTCTATAAAGGAAGACAAAACAAAGCTGGAGAACATTCAGAATAGGTCAACTAAAATCACCACTGGTGATTTAGATAAAGGGCTAACCCAGAAATCTAGAAACTCCCCTTTTTACAACCCTGAGGATATTCTTTGATGGATGAAAGAAGTGGAGTTGGACAAATAAAAATTATTTTACTAAGAAAATGTATGGAATGTATTATCTTAAAAAAAACTATAGAAGCAAAAAATATAGGTTGACACAGAGAAATACTATCAAGGACATACCCACTGTGGGTTAGCCAGGAAAAGTAGAGTAAGTTTTGGCTGCATGGACGACAACAGAGGGTCCATTGTGAATCAGACAGAGGAGAATATGTATCTCAATAGAACCTGTGTAATGAATAGTTTGTTCAATATCAATTGATTATTATAATGAGCTGGGTAATATTATTATAACTAATGGTAGATAAATTAGATAAATATATCCTGAGCATTTGAACCAGGCAAAGAGAAATATAAAATGGATAAGCTATGGTCCTTCACATCAAGGGCTGACAATCTAAGCAGAGGAGGTAAGTATGAGCACTAATAAGAAAAATATTGTTCTAAGTGCTCTGAAAGAATAAAATAATGACTCTGAGACACAAAATTATCAAAAATTTCATCTGTATAAACAAGGAAGTGAAGTAATACATTAAAAAGTTTTCCTGGTTAACTCCTTTAGATAAAATGTTGCATATTGAAGTATTCTTCAGAATTTTTTGTATTTCAATTAAAGAGAAAAATGTAAGAATCCCTTTGCTCATGGAGTCTGGCTTTCTCAAGTGCTTCACAAATGTGAGGTCCCTCTATGGTACAGAATTGATTTCATTATTTTAGAGCCATAGACCTAGAGGATCCTCTAAAAATGACAGAAAATACTCAGCCATCATGATCATATGGTTCTTGCCTCTCTAGCCAGCCAACTACCGGGTTTTTGCACAAAAATAATTAGCTCTGTAATTCTACATAAGGTAGATGTGTGGTGATCTAGTGTAGAGTCCTCGAGTTAAGGAATAGAATTCTATTTCAAGATCTCTCATGAAGCTATTAGAAATTGACTAAAAAAAAATTTAATCTGTCTGGGCCTTATTTTCTCATCTGGAAAACACAGAGAGACAAGTAAACCCAACCCTATTTTTTTTATTGTGTTATGTTAGCCACCATAGAGTAGTACATAATTAGTTTTGATGCAGTGTTCAATCATTCATTATTTGCGTATAACACCCAGTGCTCATTACAATGTGCCCTCCTTAATATCCATCACTGGGCTCGCCCCTTCCCCCCGACACCCCTTCCTTCTGAAACCCTCAGATTGTTTCCTGGAGTCCATAGTCTCTCTCTCGTGGTTCATCTCCCCCTCTGATTCCCCTCCCTTCAGGTTTCTCTTCCTATTTTTAATTATAGGATAAAACACCATTTTAGAACTTTTACCCATTGTTGTCATATTCATTATGGATACTACATTTTTTCAAAGTTCCTCTTTGTAAATGTAAATCTCTAAACTTGCAAAAGGAAAAACTAGAAGTGCTGAATTACTAGCAATGTTGGCTGTATAATTTTGTGGATACAAAAAAAGTAAGAATTATTCTTTCCCCTTTATTGCAAATAATAAAACTTTACCTACAGAATCTTTCTGAGCCTCAATTTCCTCATCTATAAAAGGAGGGCTTAGAACCAGAAGATGATTAAGAGGGTCTTTTCAGACAAACAGACTGTGATTCTATGTGATAAATTAGTATTAGGTCCCTATTCTATAAGAGTCAGTCATCTGTCTTACTTGTGGAGCATAAGGAATAACATGGAAGGCATTAGGAGAAGGAAAGGAAAAGTCAATCGGGGGAAATCGGAGGGGGAGACAAAGCATGACAGTCTGTGGACTCTGAGAAACAAATTGAGGGTTTTGGAAGGAAGGGGGAGAGGGGATAGGGGAGGCTGGTGGTGGGTGTTAAGGAGGGCATGTATTGCATGGAGCACTGGGTGTGGTGCATAAACAATGAATCTTGGAACACTGAAAAAATTAAATTTAAAAAAAAAGACTCAGTGATCTAGAATTCTGCTTCTAGATTTCATTATAATTATGTGTAACTGAGCAACTTAATATCTTTTGCCTTCATTTTTGCATATGTTCCTTCCTAAAATCATTAAAAGAATAAAACAATATATGTGAAGTACTTGGAATGGTATGGAAGAAAGCCTAGTAATAACACTATATAAATCAGTATTAGTTAATACTTCCCTATATTATCTGCCATAATTTCTCCTTTATTGTCACCTGGACTCCAATCTCTGCAACTTAATTGCCTCTTTTAAAATCATGATAGATGATTTATTTAGAACTTAAATACAGAAGACCCTAATATGATATGATTTCAGGCCCTGAATAATGAGAGATTCCTTTTTCAGTGGCATGACCATCTGTCTACACTTTCAACATTTTTCTTTATTATATGTTCTTTCCTTTGCCACTTACACTGCCTTAACCTCCTTTCCTCCTTTTTTTTTGCTCTTACTACCTTCATTCTTAATAAACACATTGCTCTCTATTCTTCTAATTTTCTTTGCCCATCTTTTCTCACCAAATTCCTTATTATGCTATGAAAAGAATCAATTGTCCACCCTATGAGCAATCCAGGAGCTTCTAAACTAAAACAATATATTTTTCTGGAAAACAAAATGTACTATAAGGCAAGGAACGTACATTAGACACTATCCAAAGTGAATTTACTATAAGTTCTCACAGAAGTATATAATCATCAAAGATAGCCATTAGTAATTGACATATTTTAATATACAGATAATTTAATTGATAAAAATGTTGAAATCAAAATATAAATAGAAAGAGAAAGCCAGGTACATCAATTAGCCTTCATTAGGGAATTGACCAGTTGTTCCTCTTATTTTAAGTCAATGAAATTTTTCTTTTCCTGATATAGCTCATTTACCTTTACTCACCACTGAACAATTTTGGAGAAATAACTCGAGTTCTTAGATTCTATAGAAGCAAATTACCACTTATCAGTTGCCATTTTTGAATATCAACTAAAATGGTGAAAATGAAAAAAATAATTAGAATAAGAACGTTTCATTTCACAAAGCCTTCTCAGTGTAGACACCTACCTTACTTTGCATTGGGGAGCTGATCATATAATGACCCAGACTACAAGCTCTTGGTTCATTTTATATCCTTCAGGATAAATCCTCTCTGATCTCGTTTATATAATTGAGTTTGAATTACTGCTTTCTTATCTGAAAAAACATCGATTGAAAATTCATACTGAACCCCAAATAAAATGTGTTTAAACAAACAATTTCACAACATACTCCTCTGGAAACTCTGACATTATTACAGCATGAATTTTCCTCTCTCCTATTTCAAAATAAAATTACCCTTTTAAATACATCCTTTATAAATATTAACAAAGGATATACACAGAAGGAGAAAAAAAAAACAACATCATCTAGTAAGTCTTGGGAATAAAGAACTTATTTTAGGCTTGAATGTCCCAAATTTTGCCTAAATGCTCATTTACAGATATATAAAATTATTGCTTACCTATAATACAAAGGCAATTTTCAATGGAAACCCGGGCAAATAAAATATGTGTTGCTAATTAAAACAATAAAGAAATCATTAATATTTTATTGTTCTCAAACAATATTTTATTTTATTGTTTTATCTTTGGATTTTAAAAAATAATAAATACAATTTATATGTGTGAAAGAACAGTCATTTAAGTAAATGACCAAATCTGACAAGATGTCAAACTGATCTGAAATCAAATCCTGGCTCTGCCATCTACTCTGACATTAGCATATTTGAACTTTATTTCAGTTTTGTCACCTATTTAAAGGTAGTATCAGCGTCTATGTAAAACACTTAACACAGCATCTGCATATAATAAGTACTTAATAAGTGATAGCTAATTTAATAATTCAACACTTATTTGTTTAGTAACTATTTAGTCAGAAAGCCTAGTATGTAACAGACCGTCATTATATATGCTTAATATGTAAATTGCTGAGGGAGTACATGAATAAATAATTACTGAATTTTTTAATAATTTTTTTTTTTTTGACAGACAAAGATCACAAGTAGGCAGAGAAGCAGGCAGAGAGGCAGGCAGAGAGAGAGGAGGAAGCAGGCTCCCTGCTGAGCAGAGAGCCTGATGTGGGGCTTGATCCCAGGACCCTGAGATCATGACCCGAGCCAAAGGCAGAGGCCTTAACCCACTGAGCCACCCAGGTGCCCCAATAATTACTGAATTTTTTAAAACAACATACACTTTTCTCCATTTCCACGGCTATAACTCAGTTTTACTTCTTTCAATCCATTTTCCTCTCTATGCAATGTAATATGACAAAAGTTCAATAAGAATTTTCCACTGCCCTCAGAAAAAAGTCCAAACTCCTTAGTATCATTTACAAATCCCTTGGAATACATCTTACCTCTCTGATTTTATCTATTACCCTTCCCCCTATCATCGCCATCCTCCCTCCACTTTTTAGGTTCTTCAGCCAAACAAGATGGAATTCCTCAAATTTGCCACTTTCTTTCTTGCCTCCAAGCCCTTTCATATGCCATTCTCTGTCTAAAACATCTGCCTGATGCCCCACCCCATGCCTCATCTCACCTAATTCCTACTCATCCTTCATTAGTTAACTGAGAAAGCAGACCTTCTGGAAAGTCCTCTCTTGATTCCCCAAGGCCTTCCTCATGGTTAGTGGTATTAAAAGAATTAGAGAAAATAATAGAACCTCTGCCACATGGAAGATACTCAATAAATCATAAGTATTATTCTTGATTATTGACAACCCCATTGATTTTGATTTATCCTAGTCTTTATCAAAGTTAATGAAAAAAATGAAAGATGGTTAGATGAGTCTCCCTGGAGGTGACATGGAGAGATCAAGGCAGAATCTGGTATATGTACCAGGAATACTCATTCCAGAGGTCTCCAAATCTCAGAAATATAAGTTACCTTATAGCAAGAGAAAAACTCTGAAAATAGGAAAAGTGGAAATAAAGATACCAAACTTAACCTGCTTCATGTTATTCCAAGCATGTTAAGACAGGAGTATACAGGAAAAAAATGAGGGTTGCTGGAGGGGAGGGAGGTGGAAGGGATGGGGTGGCTGGGTGATGGACACTGGGGAGAGTATGTGCTATGGTGAGTGCTGTAAATTGTGTAAGACTGATGAATCACAGACCTGTACCCCTGAAACAAATAATACACTATATGTTAATTTTAAAAAAAGAGTACAATAACTGGGAACATTAGATGTTTGTTTCTAGTAGAAGTAGTACCTCTGTTGTACAAATTATTGATTCAGGAACTCAGTTACTAGCACATTTACATACATACCCCTGAGAAATATATATACATATAACAGAACTGATATAAACTTGGCCTATTACTTTTAAAAACTATTAATACATATCATATATTTAGATAATTATTTTCTTTTAAAGGGAATATCATGTATAGGATCTCATACTCTTAAAACAATCCAGGCAGACTGAACTTTCACTTCTGGCCCAGATTTACTATCTCATCTAAGATAACTGTAAGCAGGACAAAATATATGAAACAATGCTTTACATACAGTGGACATTAGGCAGCAACAACAACAAAAGTGCTTCCAGAGAGACAGGAAACAAACAAGAGAACTACAGCTTACTGCCTGAAGAAAGTTTCTGGCAGGTGGTACAGGGAGATGTACTATGCATGGCTGAGGACAGAACTATCCCTAAATTGAGGAGATGGACTTGGGAGTCCATGGAATCCAAGGTCTTAAGAGTTCACAGAGAGGAATATTGAAGAGGAGAGAACTACACACAGAATTCTGGAGATCTGCAGAGGATCTCTTCAGTATTCAGCTGAAAATGAAAAACTCATGCATGTGAGAAAATCAGATGAGGCTAGGAAAAGAAATATCTAAAAGGATTAAAGAGAACAGTCCTGAGATTCACACAGGGATAGGCACAATGCTTGTATCTACCAACAACAGTGAAAAATCTCCTAATTCATGGGAAATCAGGTAGTATCCTCAGAAGGGTTTCGCATCAATTAGGGGAAAATTAGCCCTAAACTAAATGCTGCCCAAAAATGCTTAAAAACAAGAACTAAAAGGATCAACTGTTTGCAGGTAATAACCATCAGTGAACAAAGCTGAAGAATATTTATAGGAATGCAACAATATTTGGAACCAAAGAAGGTATAATCTCCAATATGTGGCATTTATTTAAAAAGTTGGTAGTCAGGCAAAGTAGCAAGAAAACACAATTCATAATGAAAAGGAAATTAATTAATTGAAATTGACCCAGAAATGGTACAGATAACAGAATTAGTAGATCAAAAGAAACAAAAACAAACAAACAAACAAAAATCAAAACATGACTCTACTAAAGGAATACAAAATTTTCTAGTAACTAATCCCAAAGAAATAGAAATTGGGGAGTTACCTGAAAAACAATCCAAAATAATTATTTTAAGGAGACTCAGGAAGATTCAAGGGAATGTAGGCAATTCAATGAACTCATGAAAAAGCAAGAAGTTTAACAAAGACACAGAAATAATAGAAAATAACAAAACAAGGGTTCTGGAATTGAAGAATCTGTAAGTCATATTGAACTTTAGTATGTAAGTTAGAAGAGAACTGCTGAAAAAAATTTTGTTAACGGATACACAATATATAAATTGGGGCACCAAAACATAAAATGAGGGAAGTCAGTAAATACGCAGAACTTTTTATGCAAACGAAGTAAAGCTGTCAGCTTAAAAAGACAATTACAAATATTGGATATTTTATATAAGTGTCACGGTAATCACAAAACCAGTAATAGATATACAAATAATAAAAAGAAAAGAACCAAAGCATACCACTATAAAAAATCACCAATTCACAAACAAAGATGACAAGAGAAGAAAAGGGGGACAGAAAAAGAACTAAATGAGAAAACAATTAACAAAGTGGAGATAGTAAGTGCTTATCTATCAATAATCACTGTAAATCTAAATGGTTTAAATTCTCCAATTAAAAGACATAGAGTAGCTGAATGGAAAAAAAAAAAAAAAAGAAGAAAAAGACCAATGATATGCTGCCTATAAGAGACTCACTTAAGCTTTGAGGACCTTCATAGGCTAAAAATGAAGGGATGGAAAAAGACAGTCCATGCAAATGAAAACCAAAAGAGAACAGGAGTAGCTATACTTGTGTCAGAAAAAGTAAACTTTAAGTCAAAACTATAACAAGAAACAAAGAAGGTCATTATGTGATGATAAAGGGGTCAATCAAAAGTATATAACAATTGTAAATATACATGCATCCAGCATCAGAGTACCTAAATACATTAAACAACAAAGAACAGATCTGAAGGCAAAAATAAATAATAATACTTGAAGGCATCAAAATCCTTGAGGAGAACACAGGCAGCAACCTCTTCAGCCTTAGCCACAGCAACTTCTTCCTAGAAACATCGCCATAAGCAAGGGAAGCAAGGGCAAAAATGAACTATTGGGATTTCCTCAAGATCAAAAGCTTTTGAACAGCAAAGGAAACAGTCAACAAAACCAAAAGACAGCTGACAGAATGGGAGAAGATATTTACAAATGACATACCAGATAAAGGGCTAGTATCCAAAATCTATAACAAACTTATCAAACTCAACACCCAAAGAACAAATAATCCAATCAAGAAATAGGGAGAAGACATGAACAGACATTTCTGCAAAGAAGACAGCCAAATGGCCAACAGACACATGAAAAAGTGCTCCACATCACTAGTCATCAGGGAAATACAAATCAAAACCACAATGAGACACCACCTCACACCAGTTAGAATAGTTAAAATTAACAAGTCAGGAAACAACAGATGCTGGTGAAGATGCAGAGAAAGGGGAACCCTCCTACACTATTGGTAGGAACGCAAGCTGGTGCAGCCATTCTGGAAAACAGTATGGAGGTTCCTCAAAAAGTTGAAAATGGAGCTACCCTATGACCCAGCAATTGCACTACTGGGTATTTACCCCAAAGATACAAATGTAGTGATCTGAAAGGGCATGGGCACCTCAACATTTATAGCAGCAATGTCCACAATAGTCGAACTATGAAAAAAAGCCTAGATGTCCATCAGCAGATGAATGGATAAAGAAGATGTGGTGTATATGTATATATATACATACATATATATACACACACATATATACATACAATGGAATATTATGCAGCCATCAAAAAATGAAATCTTGCC